CAGCCACAGACACCTGCTGCCTGAGTAAGCACCACCATTAGCAGGGAAGGCTCTCAGTGAAAAATTGAATGGAGGAGAGATACGTGAGTTATGAATCTGGAGGTGAATTCAAAAAAGGGCAGAAATACATTCAGAATGAGAAAGCCACAAAAAAAACCTCTCAATTCAGATTTACAGCAGCGAGCATCAAAAGCAACAAGGGCAAGGATAGAAATTTTAATTAATTTGTATAACAAATGAAAACCTCTTTTATGTTTTAGAAAGACCTGGAAAGAAAAATGCAGCAGTAACATTAGGTGTCAGCTGGGTTTTATGGTCCATTTTACTACTTCTTTCGAAAGCCACTGCTAACATGACTTGGATATTCTTAAAGAACAGAATGAGGGGAGCAGAAGAAAAGGCATTCCGTTTGCTGAAACAGCAGGATTGCCTGCAAACRGGATCAAAGTCACATGCCAGCCCATGGAATTAGGTGGGATATGACAGGACAGAAAACAAGTTATTTAAGGAGGGAAGAGAGGAGAGTAGGAATCATTGTTAACAAGTGACACTGGAAACATGTGACTTCATCTATAACTAGCAACCAAAATGAACTTAATTGCTCCTCGAAGACTTCTGCAGGAATTCAGACAGGTAACAGAGGCAAGAAAGACAAAGATGGTGACCACCTTAAAAATGGAGCATCAAAATCTAAACTTCACTGTTCTTGAGATTATTAGATTTAAATGCTTTGTACTTACTCTCAAGAAGTTCAAGTTGCTGATGAATTAATACCTGGTCAATCTGGTCATGGTTGAAAAAATAAACAGAATAAACAGTTAASAAGTTGCAACTAAGAGAAGTGTAGTTTTAAAAACTGCTGCTGTTTCATTTAGAATGAAAATGTACAGATCAATAAATTGTCTAGAGGCAGATTATCTACCAGKTAAACTGTGGAAGTAGCTTTGTCCTGTCCTCTGSCAGTTTAGCAGAAGGGCGCTGCAGAGCCCTGGAGATGATGGGGGGAGCTGAACCCAAGATGCTGTGGTTAAAAGCATGCAGGGCTGATGTGCCTGTGCTCCTTTCAGGACCCAGAGCCTGACACAGTTCTGACATCACATCTGCCACAGCCTYCATACAGACAAAACCAGGAAAAGCAAACTTCTTAGAGCAGAAACTCAGCTACTGCTCGGCTCTGACAGAAACTCAGTGGAAAAGCAGCCCTTTCTCACCTGTGCTTTTTTTTTATTTTTTATTTTGCAGGTTTGGTTTTTTGAGCAGCTTGCAAATGTGGCAACCATATGACAGTGTTAATGTTTTCAGCATTGAAATTAACTGTATTTTACAGTATAAAGACATATCCAGCAAACTGGAAACAATTCCTATTTTGCATTCTCTGTGCTGTRAAGTCTGACTGSCACCTCTGCTAACAATATTAAGAAGTGTGAAGAAAGCACCACGTATAAAATTAAGTCCTTCTAATATGTTACAGTTGCTCATATTATAGGTATTTATTCTATACATCTTGCMAAATGACATGACATCCCACAAGCAGTAACTCCAGACACAGGAAGGATGTATGATAGTCCTGTGTCCCTCATCCTTCAGCATCCTACTTGGCAGGAAGGTACCCCATGGACAATGCTACAGCCATAAATGRCATCTCTGCATTCAGACCCTACAAAAGGCTTCACTTAGAAGCCCCAAAGCAGCACCCACACAGCTGCARCACAGSCAGATGCTTTACTGAGCTACATGGAGGCTGCTTCCCAGATCAGAATAGCTGATSTSTGGGGAAGGAGGAAGGGTGCAGGTACCTGTGTGAGGTATTCCAGTCCAGGAGGGCAGTTGGGAATAGCAGGAGGGATGGGCATCCAGATTGTCCCATCCATGGGGGGCTGGTTCTGGACAGGGGGAACGACAAATCCACCTGGGACTCCCATGGGYTGTGGCTGGAATCCATAGTTCATTGCACCTGTGACATTTGGCATGGTAGAAGAGACAGAATTATCAAAGTTAGATACTGGAAAAAAAATGCCTCATGCATTTTCAAAATATTTATTTCTTTACTATTCACTATTTTGAACTATGGAGGTCCTTRTATCTTATATATTTCAATTATGAATCCAATCACTTCCATGAAGGAAGTTACACTGCCTTGGGAKGTTCTGATGCCTCAGAAAACACCAAACCCAATAAATAAACGTATCATTCTTGAATACAGAAGAATGTCATACATAGAGATAGGCAGTCAAAAAACAGAAATGAAGAAGTTAAGGTTATTTATAAGAATATTTTCAATTACATGAAAAGCATCGGAAATTACAAGTTGTCAGTTGTGTAAAGGGGRAATTTYAAGATGAACTTTTTCTGAAATTACWCYTTCTACTGTTTTGAAAGGGAATGCCATTCTAGCAATGTTCATCTGCAGTTTTCAAACCAGTTGAGTGTGCCTAAAACTGCACTTTCCCATTCATTTAACAGATTGTCTGTCAAACCCCAAAAAGCACACAAATCCTTTGGAGAGGAGAAACACAGCAAAGGAAGAAATAGTTCAATRTTTTGTGAATTTCAAGTAAGTTTCCAATTGTTGCTGAATAAAAAGCACATGGAACACGCAGGGCTGAAGTGCTCAGCACCCAGCAGATGGCACCAGCAGCTCTGCTTTGGGGTCACCCTTCATCCCGCTGGGCACAGAGCTCTGCCTGCCTTCCCCCAACACCACCTTTGTCACTGAAGCTGCAGATGTTGAGTGAAAGTTACAGAACACAAACTTGAGTGAAAGTTACAGAACACAAACTATATTTTCCCTTCATTTAATATTCTTCTGATAGGCAGACATCTTACACTGAGGAATTTTTTATTTTACACAGAAGTGAGCACTTGCAGAAGATGCAAAGAGTATTTCTGTCAAGCTGCACAGATAGTTTGAGATACTGACGTGCAGACCTTTAGCCCACACCAGCTCAGCACCAAATTTCACATCCCATCACATCACATGGACCATTACACGTGACAGATCAGGTACCTGTACCTCAGGTGATGCAAACAGCGCAGGCTTAAAACTCACAGGGGGCCACATCACCCAGCCCAGAGAAGRACACAACCTTTTGGAATTCAGAATCACTTTTATGTCTGAGCACGGGCTTTGCACACCAGCTATCYACTGATATTGTGTGCAAGTGTGTGCACACACAATTATCCAAAATAAAGCTCCTGCAACCTCTGTAGCACGAGCAGGAAGTGCTTGTCTCCTGCTAAAACCAAGTGTGCTTGCAAACCTCAGAGCGCCTTGTCCGAAGATGCACAAGCTTTAACTCATGAACAGCACAGTAACTCAGGCCAAACATCTTGCTTTTTACCTCTGACWTGGGCTTTGAGCCTGAATGTTAGATATTTATTGTGATTTGGTTCTTCAGAAAGYAATCATTGCCTGAATAAGAGAAGTTGCTCAGGAGTGCTGCATTTTGAGGTGGAGCAGAAAATGAGACACAAGAGGAGAAAGCAAGTGTGTGAAAGTGTAAGGTATAACCACCYGCAAAGTACAGCAACAGAGTATGAAACAGGAACAGAATGCATGCAGAACTGCAAGAGAACAATTCTTTCTTCAGTTCTGGATTTCTAGAGAAAAATTAAGTGAAATACTGAAATAACATGATAATCAAAGAATCTGGCCGTCAGTAAAAACYTGTGACACATTTATTGCAATCAGTAACACCTCCCTAGCAAACTCCCCAAAGTGACCACTGAGGAACACCTGACATTTTTAACTCCTACCACTGTTGATACTGCTCAGCACATAATAGCATGTAGCATCAARAAGGAAAGAAATTACTTTGCATCAAAACAGAAATGAAAAGAATGTCCRTAGAATTAACAACAGAAAAGTTAATCAGAGCTGATCACCCCTGTAGAACCCTACATTCCCTGTCCTTATCTCCTAATGGGTCACAGATCTGTAAGCAAGCGACCCACCTTGGTAAGGCCCAGGGACAGGCTGAGGGTAGCCATAGGGGGCTGTAGGTGCTGTGGCAGGTTGAGGTTCTGGAAAAAATGGAACACACACACTGAGTACAGATCATTTCCTCCTACCCTGGGGGAAAGATCCCCAGCGCTGCCTCCTTTTTTTTGGAGTACACACAGAAAAAAAAAAAAACAAAAAAACCAGGCAGCTGTTTTCTGTATAGCAAAAATAYACATCAAGATCATATTTATAAACAAGGCATGTATGTAAACATCAGTTAAATTTAAAGCAGTTCTGGGCCTTAAAGTGCAGAAAAAAGGCAGATGCTGCACTTAATGTCATGAAGGTGTCACAGAATCTTTCATTCAGAGGAGACCTCCTGACATCATCCAATCCAAGCACTGCTCCAGCAGGGTCAGTTCACTCTGTCTGGACCAAAGATGTCTTTGTTCATTGATATTTAGAAAGAGGTTTGAATTCAAAGCATTGCCAGGAACTGACAGGCTGCCCTCCTGTGCAGAACRTGGCAATGAGCCTTTCCCCTCCGTRTAARACCTTTTCTCCCMACTTCTTCAAGTTTGRACTATACTAATGCCTCACCAGCAGATGGAGACAGTTATGGATTTAAAAACACTTCCCAGTTTCAGTTTGTAAGCAGAAAWAACTTGAATTTCAAGATTACTAATCTATTAATTATTTTTATTTAACTTCAGAAATCAAGATTGGAAAACGTAAGCTCTATGTTTTGTAAAATACTCAATTATAAAATGTAAATAAATTTAAAATGTTCATACATATTTCATATAATTAGAAGGTTATCTAATAGCTAATATTACTTGAACATGCTGTYTGATTTTAGCAAAAGTTGACATTTTGTTTATATTTTACTCACCTTGCATTGTCGTGGAYCTGCTTACAGTTGTTCTGAAAAAGAACATTTTTATTTCATGATTTTTTTAATAAATAATTTCATGCAAGAGTTATTCAGATTTCTCTGCTTRTTATTGATAAAACAGATTTGCCTCTTTCCCATGTGGGAAAGCTAAATTATAAATACAAKGTGAAATAACCATCAATATCTCAACTTCCTCCTAAGCTTTGTTTCCAACCCCACATRAGTCTGAATTTTCTGTCTGCATTCATGCTTTGAGTATCCTGAAATCATCCTCAACTAAAAGGAAAGCATTGGGATGTGCAAGACTCTGCTGTGTGTCCAGTTTTTGCCTTCAAAAGATAACATAGGGTGGTTGCCAAAAAGACTTAAACAAAAAAAACCTAAATCAGAAGAAAAAGGAACACTTASTGATACCAGCATAAACCTTGAGAGATATTTCTGTCTCAGGGGTAATGAGAGAAGACAGATAACAGCAGCAACTGCTGTAACAGATAGAGCTCCAAAACAGGCAGAAGATCCAAAAGTGGAAGTCTAAAAAAATGGTMTAGGCACTCCTTTTTAACAGGATTGAAAGCTTTCAAATAAAAAATAAACCTAGTTATTTAAAAATAATCCAGTTCAAGTTAAACTAGCAATATATTTTGTGTAACTGCTTCTGTTTWGTGAAGGTCGTTCAAATCTGGAAATGGAAGTGAAAGTGAAAGCAGCACCCTCCTGTTTTCATTCCCTGAGTAAAAGCAGATCTCAATGGATGATGTCTAATGCTTCCAGGACCAGCTCATGTKCAAATCCTACATAACATTTTCTTTATTTAACATATTACTCTTAAAGGTTTCTTTTTTTAATGTATTTTTTTCCTTCAACTTTACTAACAAAACCACCATCCTGTTTCACATACTTTACTTGGATTCTGGTCATATGTTAGATTGGAATCTGGCCCCTATCAGAATGCAGATTTTTAAAAAAAGTAATAAGAAATAATTTAAAATTACACATTTGATTTAAAAAGATGACAGAACACATCCAAACTAAAGAACTTAAAACTTGTTTTCACAGATTAYAATAGAGCATAACAAGTTTTATATGTGACCATATTAAATATGCTGACAAAATTACCAGCTTATGGGAACATCACAAATTTAGGAAGAATAAAAAATGTTATTCAAACTATCAAGCGATCTGTTTATACTGTGAGATGTTCCAGCTACGTGAACTTCAGTGAAATGCTGAGAATTGCAATGAAGTCCTCTGGTAAAGGGAGAATAGAGACAGGATCATATGCCTTATTTAACAGAAAGGCTTTGTAGTAGTCCGGAATCTTTATTATCCCTACAACCACACATAGAGGCCAAGGTACAATCTAGGATTTAGAAAATGTTGATATGCCCTATAGCTAGAAATGAAACAAAGATTGTACAAAGCTCAGCCCTCATTTCATCACTCACAGTTCTTTTTTAATGAATGTCCATGTTTCTTTTCAGTCACTTTCTCATTTTCAGTACTACATTACACAGCTACACATCCCCCACTGTAACAGCAGTCACTAGATATGCTGAAAGAAATTCAGACAAGTCATAATTACATTAACTATAGGCCATCTGCTTTTWATCAGAAAAACAGAATACTAGCCTGACAATTAGTTTCATTTCTTATCCAGCATGACATAYATTCTCATTTCTGAAACAGCTCACTAAAATGTTGCTAAAAGCATACTAATGTAAGCTCCCAATCACAAATATGCTTATTGTCATATGAATGCCAAGCYGGGTTCTTTCTAAGCAGTTTTAATATTCAAAAAACAGACTGAGGAAGCCAAATAGCCAGGAGGCAAGAATTAGCACACACTTTCTGGAATTTGTTCTTGTTGTTGCATTATATTAACGGGATTTTAACCTTGACTGCTGGAGAAAAAGGATGCTTTAAAATCAACTGGTTGATCTAATTAAACCAGTTGTTTTTGTTTATAGTTAACAAAACAGTATTCAGAGAAGGAATTAATGAAATAAACTGTAACTTGACACCATATTTTTTTGGTCCTGATGCAGTAGGGTTCCCTGCTCCCTTACACACTGACTTTTCTCCTGATTCCCGGGAGTTCCAGCCCCTGGCAGCCGCACACACAGCTCACACTCAGGGTACCCACCCTCGCTGGGCACAGCCCCGCGGCTGCCAGGACCGAGCTGCTGCTGCTGCTGCCTCCTCCAGCGGAGCTCTGCAGGCACCGGGCAGCAGCACCTCCCCTCAGCCCAGTCTTTGCAGGCCASTTATTTCTCTAAARGGACATATTCTAAMTTAATRCGCGYTCCCCAACCCCAAASCGWGGRGCTTYTCCTTGTCAGAGCCCCGTCCCAGCCCCGCTKATCATTTCGCATCCCTGYSAAACGACCCCAGGGATGGCTGGAAGGACCGCCGGGCAGGAATCCTGGTCGGTAAGGACGCCTAAAGCCCCAGCCGGCCGAATTTACCGTTCCCGAGCCGAGGCTCCGCTGTCCCGCTGTCCCTGTCCCGCTGTCCCGCTGTGCCCGTGCCCGTCTGGTTTGGGAACACCCAGCGCTGCAGGGCGGGCAGGGGGCAGGGCCGGCTCCGGGCAGGAAACTGCCGGTCCTGCTGAGAGATTCCGGCATTTCGAAAGCGCTGCCGAGAAACACCGGGATTGCGAAGGCTTTGCGATTTGTGACGTTTGATTTTCCATTTCTATCAGCATCAATGCCAATTCCATATTTTTAAAATAAATGATTTAATTAATTGATTTCCTCTCTGCCTTTTAGTCATAGGATATCAGGTTGCATACAAGTGATAACGCCACACTCTATGTCCACCCTGAAAGGAGAAAAAAATGTATTTGAAATAATTTTACCTTGCATGTAAGGCAGGACTTCGGGGCGGGGCTGGAGAGGGGGGGGGAATATATTCATATATTTACATGGACTTTATAGTTACAGGAACAAGAACATACAATACTGAATTGTTTGGGAAACAAAGGACTTGGAGCCAGTTGGCTCCTGCCCTGATTAACAGCTCTGGAGAACAGATCTTCTGCATCTTTTCTCTACATTCACATAAGGCAGAATGGAGCTGCTGGTGCCTGTGTTTGCTTCTTCAGAGGAAACTTATTTAATTTAAACCACATCAATCTGATCACAGTAATGGTGCATGCATGAAACCCAACACTGGGGTTTCAATTTCAATTCTAAATAAAGCAAACAGAAATTATTAAGTGCAGGTCGTCATGTAGCTTTACATGCTCTTTAGTCTTTGATTTTACCTCCCAAAATAAGATTTCCATTTCAATAYTGAACTTTCCATAAATGACACCAAGCCAAAAAAAGAACCCCAAAACTGCCATTCTAGCCCTATATTGGATTTCACCTAAACACCAGATATGACAGGAATTTGAGGATTTTATTTTGCTTGTTTCCTCAGGTACAGAAGAATCTAATCTAAAGCTGACTAGCATTTCACCACACATCTGCACTGAGTCCAATAAGAGGATTAACAGCAGACATAAAGAAATAGGTTTTAAACATCTCTTAAGAAATAGGTATAGAATTATTTTGACATGGTAGGGAAATTAAAAATGCATGGTAGCTTTTGATAGCACCCTTCTTTTTTACTGGAATACAGCATAGTTATATTTAGCTTGGTTTACACTGAAATTTAGATTGTATTGCCCAGCAAATAAAACCTTTTGACACAGAGTTTAATGTTATTTCTTAGATGAGAGTATCACTGTCATATCAAAGAGAACAAAGTTAGCAGCAATATCTCTTCCTTTTAGGTATCTATCAGTAGGAAAAAAACCCTATTCACCTTCACCAGAAGAAAAAGAGATGGCATGATTCACAAAATACAAAGTAATTCATCAATCTTTCCCATATCAAATWATGTTCCTGTTCCTTTCTCATTCCACTAGGGTCACTGATATTGTAACTGATGGTCAGTGCTTTTCTGCTGGATCAGTGATTAGAAATGGACAAATTTTCTCCAGTGGGTAGATTTAATCAGCAGGTGAATGTCTAAAATATAAAGGAAGTTGGAATTGGTTCAAGAGAAATAAGAGAAACCATGCTCCTAGTAATTTAGTCTTTTAGGTTTAAGTGTGTTTACCTGAAGAGAAACATAATTTATAGGCTCTGGACCCCATTTTCTAAGTGTGTTACTTATGATCTGGATATTCACCACATTACTTTCTACTGCTTCAACTTCGGATGCTCCTGACTGTGGCTCTTCATCTGATCCTGTGGTGCCCAACACCAGAAAAGGAACCAAGTCCTCACCAGCTTCTCCTGCAGAGGTCTCCAGGATCCTGATTTGGATGGAGGTGCCAAAAGCAGCTCTCTCATCTTTGCTGCTGACAGCACCTGAGCCGCTCCTTTGCCCTCCGTGCCCGGGCAGCGCAGCTCAGTGAGGGACACGGAGGGAGCACACGACAGCAAACAGCCTTTGTGCAGCTCAAATGCTGTTTAACCGCGTTTAACCTCAGGAAGGGCATTGTTWGCACTGGGAAAGGAAATAAAAGTGATTACAGGGGTTTGCCTTCTGTGCCTGTGGACACAATCCCACAGGAGACTCCCTCCTCCAGTGCTGGAGATCGGGAAAGCAAACCTGGAACGGCAAGCGGACATGGGAGATGCAGAGAATGATAAGCTGAGAGTAGTTGT